CGGAGGTGAGGGACCGTCTACAGGTGCCCCTTCCCTTCCCCTTCTATTCCTCCCTTCCTTTTCTCTCTTTTCTCCTTTCCCTTTGTTCCTTCCCTTTCCTGTTTTCTCCCCTTCCTTTCCCTCTCCCTTCCTTGTTCCCTGCCTGCCTGTCTCCGCTCTGAGCCGCTGCAACCTGTGTCAGCCCACCGGCCCCACAGCTCCTGGGAGGCCCCGGGGCTGGAGGGAGCTGCCCTGGGGCTGGTTTACCCACCTGCCCAGGACAGCCGCCTGTGCGCAGACATACGCACGCACTCATTTCTGATCACACACACAACCATCTGTGCACACACCCACGCAGCTGTTCCACGGACCCGCACACATCGGCACGCACGTGCACCTGGAGGCGGCGGTGCACGCATAAATCTGTGCGCACACATGCATCACTGCACACAGCTGTGGAGCCATGGGTGCACGCACAAACACGTGCCCACACGTAGGTGTCTGCATGCACACACACAGGTGTGCAGTGCACACACACATGCCCACACGCATGCATACATGCACACATCCATGCACGTACTGCCAAACATGCATGCGGTCATGCCTGCACACACTGCCATACGCACACATGTCCATGCACACACACACATATGCATCCCTGCATATGTACGCACCACTGCATGTGTGTGTGTGTCTGCACAAACACACCTGCCCGTGCACGCACACTACCACATGCCCTCACGGCTCTATGCATACACACACACGCCATCGTCCATGCACACACACTACCGTATGTACACACACGTACACACTCACCTTCATGCACATACTGCTACATGCGTGGGCACACATGCTGACATCTGTGCACACACACACGCATGTCCATGCACACATACTAGCCTAGGTATGCACACGCAGACATCCATGCACACACATGGACATCTGCGTGCATATATACACTCACATGTCACCATGTGCACACTCATCCATGCACACACACTCACTCTTTACACACTCTGGCATATGTACACGTCTATGCACACTCACTCATATCTATCCACACATGCGCACTCACATACCACCACGTGCGCAAACATCCGTGCATGCACCACGCTCCTCCATGCACAAACACCCCTTGCCATGCACACATGTCCACGCTCATGCACACACACTCTCACATCCATGCACATAAACACCCCACCATATGCACACACATGTCCATGCACACACATAAGCACGCTCACCTCCATGCACAATACCATCACAGGCACAGACACTTACCTCCATGCACACCCCCCCCAGGATATGCATGCACATCCATGTGCGCATACACACACTCATATCCATGCACACATATACACTTACATACCACCGCATGAACACACATCCATGCGTACACACACACAATCTCCTCCATGCACAGCCCCCAATGCACACACCTGTACACATGCTCCCCTCTATGCTCACACACATATCACCATATGAGCACATGTCCATGCATATACTCTCACATCCATGTGCATAAACACCCCACCATACATGTGCACATGCCCATGCACACACACACTCACCTCCATGTGCACATTTGTACCTCCACCTGTGCACACGTATGCACGCACACACACTCACCTCCATGCACACACAAATACCTTCACATGTGCACATTTATGTGCATCCACAGACATGCCTCCGTGCACACTCCCACCATATGGGCACACATCCGCATGCACACTCAACTCCATGCACACACACACACACACACACACACCCCATATGCACACACATCTGTGCATGCACACACACACAGCCCCCAGGTGCCAGCCACCATTCCCCGCAAGAGCCCAAGTGGACGAAGTGGCAGCCACAGCCTTTTGTTCCCCCTCCAGCAGCTCACCGCCAGCCCTGCCGCACCGGCACGGCTGCTGCCACGGAGCCGGCCCGCGTCTCCCATCGTCCCTGGGCAGCTGGGCCGGATCAGCCCCGGCCAGGGCAATTACCCACCTCGCCACCTTTGGGGGTCCGCGGGGGTGCCCTGCTTTGGGGCAGCCTCTCCTGTTTGGGGAAAGGCTCTCTTGCCACCCCCTTCTTCTCCCAGCTCCTTTTGGAGCATGCTGCTATTTTCTGAGCCCCCAGTACAGCCCCGTGCACCTCTATTTTCCAAGTCTCCCCTCAAGCAAGGTGCTTCTTGGGCAGCTCTTGCTGCCTTGCAGCTCATTTCCAGCTCCCTTGTAGCCTGCTACATACATACATACATACATACATACATACATACATACATATATTGCTCCTGTTAAATTTGGGATATTCACTAAATAAGAACAAAATTGAGCTCCTCCTGCTCTAAGCTCTCCCAGCTCCCTGCCTTCTTATGTCTTCTCCTTCAGTTGCGGCTGGGTAGGAAGAGCATAATTAGCAGCTGGAATCATTAAACTGGCATTATTTGGCCCTCTGGTTGGGCGCAGGTTTGCAGCTGGTGGTTTGGGCTCTGTGCCCAGGGAGCCTGCGTGCAGTTTTGGAGAGGGGCGGCCGTGTCTCTGCACATGGCGCGTTGTGCCCCAGGAGGGGAGGGCGGGCGGCGCTTTGCACCTCCACTTGCGGGAGCGCTGCGGGGCACATCGGGATTTTTGGAAGGGGGTTGCCCTGGCCTCCGCGATGCAGCTGGGATGCCTGGGGGAGAAAATCCCTGGGCAGACAGAAGGGTTGCAAGGGGCCTTCAGGGACCGGCTCCAACCTCTTCTCCCACACCTCCTGCAGATTATCAAGGTGACTACTACGGGCCAGGAGGCAATTATGACTTTTTCCCCCACGGGCCGCCTTCCCAAGCCCAGTCCCCGGCCGATTCCAGCTACCTTCAGAACTCAGGACCCGGCTCCACGCCCCTGGGACCCTTGGAGCCCCCCCTAAGCGGACACCACTCCTCAGAAAACCAAAGGTACACGGATATGATCTCGCACCCCGACACCCCGAGCCCCGAGCCGGGCATGACGGGCTCTCTGCACCCCATCCCGGGGGAGGTCTTCAGCGGGGGGCCCAGCCCGCCTTTCTCCATGTCCAGCAATAGCGGCTACACGGGGGGC